CCCCCGCGTTCCCCAACAGCAGCGGAGGCTCCTGGCGGCCCAGGCGACGGGCAGGGACCGGCGGGGCCGCCTCACCGGGGCTCTCCCCGTCCCACTCAGCCAAGCTGTGCAGCGAGGGTTCGGGCGGGAAGTCCTTGCGGGGCTCGAGGCCCAACTTGCGGGCAGCAGACTTGTCAGGGCCGGGCCGGCGGGTGAGGCGCGGGGAATCCGCGGGCTTTGCGTGCAGCTTGGCGGGGAAAGCAGGCGGCGAGGCGGCGGGAGGCGAAGGGGTGTGGGCGAGCGGCGAGAGCGGGATGCTGCCCGCCGACTTGCAGCGCGCTGCCCGGTACTGCCGCTGCAGCTTCGGGGAGAGGCCCTGCAGAGAGCTGGGGCGGAGATGCGGACCCGGAGCCGGCGACGGGGGAGCGCTGGAGCCCGGGGAGCTGCTGGGCGGGGACGTCCCTGCCCGAGACGAGCGTCACCGCGCGGCCCTCGCACCGGGCCTCGGCCTTCCGGCTTCTCCAGGACGCCGTGTTCTCCCCCAGCCACCACTTCCGGCTCCCTCCCAGACCCACTTCCGTTCCCGTAGCCCCGCCCCCTGTGGCAGCGTTTCCCCCACCCACTTCCGGCTCCCTCCCCGACCCACTTCCGTTCCCGTAGCCCCGCCCTCGTGGCAGCTCTTCCCCCTTCCTCCCCCACTTCCGGCTCCCGCCCTCCCCCGCCGCCATTGCCTCCACCCCCCGGCCCGGTACCTGTCTCGGCGGCGCGAGGCGGGTGGGCGGGATCCCGCGCCCGCGCGTGCGTGGGGGAGGCGGGGAGGCTGTCGGAGGAGGAGAGCGAGCGGCTGAGAGACGTCAGCGAGCGGCTCGTGTGCAGCAGGGAAGCCTGCCGCGCCAGGTGGCGGAAGAGCGCACTGCGCCGCCTGCCGGATGGGAGGACTCACTGCAGGTCCCGCGCTATCCCGGTGCCCCGGTGCTGACCGGCCCGCCGCTCACCTCTCGTGGCCGCTTCCGGCGCCGCCCCGGCGGTTCCTGCGAGCCATTTTGGTCCGGGCGCTGCGGCGCCGAGCGGGTCCGAGGCGGATGGAGGTGTTCTCCAGGGGAGTGGTGCTCACCAACACCTTGGTACCGCTCTGCGGGGTGATTGGGGGTGCGGTGACCTCTGACCCCGCCGTGACCCCACGTGACATCACCGCGACCCACGAGCCAGCCGTGACCTCTGACCCCACCCTGACCTCTCATCCCTGGTTTCTTCTGGCTTCCGTGACCCCACATCTCACAACTCTTGACCCCCAATGACCCCACACCCGTGACCCCCCGTGACCCCTGAGATCCCATAACCACAAACCCCACTGAGTGACCCATAACTTCACACCCCACCACCCCAGAACCCCACGACCCTCTCTCACACGACGCCACCCCCACGACCCCCTTAACCCCCGTGACCCCACACGACCCCACACCTCACAGCCCCCCACCACCCCCCTCCCCAGCCCCCCCAGCTCCCCTCCCCTGCCCGCTGACCTTCAGGATGAGCTCCACCACCTCGGTGTGCACCAGGCCGTGCACGGGCTCCCCGTTGACGTGGGTGATGAGATCCCCTGCGCACAGCCCCGCCTCCTGCGCCGGGCCCCCCTCCTCCACGTGCTGCACACACACAGCCGTCACCCCATGGCCCCCACCGTGGGGACCCCGAAGCACGGAGTCACCTCAGGACCCACGCGACCCCTATGTCCCCATATCCCCCCTTATATCCTCTCCCTGCACCCACCCCCTCTCCACATCCCCCCACATGCACACTGCCACCCATATCTCCCCCCATGACCCCATATCCCCCCATGACCCCATATCCCCCCCCAGCGTCCCCTCCCCACACCCAAACCCTCTGCACATCCCCCCCACGTCCCCACATCCCCCCATGACCCCATATCCCCCACATCCTCTTCCTGTCCCCATATCCCCCCCCAGTGTCCGCTCCCCACACCCACACCCTCTGCACATCCCCCCCATGACCCCACATCCCCCCATGACCCCATATCCCCCACGTCCCCTCCTTATCCCTATATGCCCCCCATATCCCCTCCCTCCACCCGCCCCCTCTCCACATCCCCCCCACACGCACATAGCCACCCACATCTCCCCACATTCCTACAACCCCCCATGACCCCACATCCCCCCACGACCCCCCATGACCCCATATCCCCCCCTATATCCCCTCCTTGTCCCCATATCCTCCCCCAGTGTCCCCTCCCCACACCCAAACCCTCTCCACATCCCCCCCACATGCACACTGCCACCCACATCCCCCCCACGTCCCCACATCCCCCCATGACCCCATATCCCTCACATCCCCTCCCTGTCCCCATATCCTCCCCCAGTGTCCCCTCCCTCCACCCGCCCCCTCTCCACATCCCCCCCCCACGCACATGACCACCCACACCCCCCCACATTCCTACA